ACAAACCTTAAAAAACAACACAAAAATGGGCCACTGAGCACAAAACCAAGCTTCTGCTATGGCCATTCCAGTTCCCTGACCTGAACCCTATAGAAAATGAGTGTGGTGAACTGAAGAGGAGAAGCACCATCATGGAGCTGGGAATCTGAAGGGTCTGGAGAGATTCTGGGTGAAGGAATTGTCTCTGATCTCTTGTCAGGTGCTCTCTAACCTCATCAGGCATTATAGGAGAAAACTCAGAGCTGTTATTATGCCAAATGGAGGTTTCAAAAAGCATTGAATAAAAGGGTGCCGTTAATTGTGTCCAATGTGTATTAGAGAAAAACATTTATGTCATAATGATATTTCCCCCCATTTTAAATTCTTATTCTCCAATGAAATGTTAAATTTATGTGAATTTTTTAAATAAAAGATCAAAATGATTAACAATGCAGATTTATTTTCACAGCCTTCTTTGTTCATATTTACCAAGGGTGCCAATAATTCGGACCTCGACTGTAAGTAAAAATTGTGAGATATAAACTCCAAATTCTGAGAACATATAACATTTTTAAAATGTAAATGTGTTGTGTTTTTTCAGAATTTTTTCCTCCCTCTATTTTTTTTTTTTATGATTTAATACAAATGTATTACCAATAAACAGTGGATATCAAATGAATGCATAAAACTTAATATTTTAAAATGTAATCAAATGAAAACAATTATTTTTAAATGTACAATACCTTTTAAACTAACAATACCTACAGAAGTTTACTTTTCAAAACATGGACAAAAAAGTATTGTGTGAAAGCAGTCTTTTTCAGGTTAATATTCACAGACACTAGTCTATACTGCGATTTGATTCATTGTACAGCCCTACTTTTGATTTACTCATCCAAAATTTGGCAAATTCTGTGACAGACAAGTACTGTAGTTGAATTTAAAGACATTATTGTGACATTATTATTTCACCTTCTCTAAGGTGGTTAAAAAAAGTAATATACTGCAAGGCTATTTGTAACAGGAAGTATTTATTAATTGTGCTACATGTCTTGGAGGGGAATGAGGTGATCCATTTTTACCAGAACATACAGTATGACTCATATAATGTGAGTCAGCAAATCCATACCTGCTGACTACAAATTTATCTTGTGACCAAATGTACGCTGCCAGTTTGGCCCCTGTTTTCTATCTTTCACCTGAGCTGTGACTGAACCAGCATCAACATAACACTTTCCAGGCATTATTTCTCATTCATGATTCTATAGAAATCATACCTAAATTCTAAATATGGTGCTCAATAAATATTTCTTATTATTATCAATGCTGGAAATGGTTTCTTTTGTAACATTATAAATGCCTCTCTTTCAATGATAAATTTAATGCATCCTTGCTGAATAAAAAATACGGACCCCAAACGTTTGAACAATGGTGTACATTTTATTATTTATTACTTAATGACTTAAATAATAATTACTTATTATTGAACTTACATTTTATTTTATTGAAACATTTGACGTTTATATAAAAAAATATTTAAATGTACACAAACTAATGAGCCGTTAAACGAATATACTGAACATTACATACTGCTTGTTAATGATCAGCTGTCACCAATTAATCTTTGCTCACTGATTTATTAATGTAATATCCTTTCTTCAAGTGTGAATTATTAGATTTATGCCATGAACTGTATATTATCGCATGCAGCAGTGCGGTGGGTTGTTCATATGCATGCTGATTGATTAAGAAAAAGCATCTTATTCTGTATATGCCATCTTACGCAGGTGGCAAAGTCCTCTATTCAGCACAATTCGCAAGGAGAGTGCTGTTGCACAGCAGAGATCTTTGTAATATTTTCCATTTTCCTCTCACGGAAGGCGCGCACTCTCATTGACTCTTCAACCTAAACACCGTCCTTCAACATGGTGATGCACTCAATTTATTCACTGAAAAAAAAGCAGCATTCTGCTGAATTTGTATTTCTGAGGGAAGCTGATGAGGAGGGGGAACATTCACTATATCAGGCTAACATCTCAACAATGGGAATGCCACAATGATGAATGAGACAGTGGTTTTAAGGCCGGCTGCCTCAGAGGTAGATACATCAGCAGCTGGAGCTGCCTCAAAACATTTATTCACTGATTAGGGACGCAAATATTGTGTCATTATAGCCAATACTCTTTTTGTGCTCTCACACCGATGCATTCATATGACCAAATATCCTTGTGAAATTGCATAACAGTAAAAGCACAGGTTATTCACATATGACAAAGGACGGTTTTGACAGCTTGACAAAAACCGAGGCACCAAAACCATGTGGTGTCTAGTTATCTCTCACCAGGCAGATTAACTCATCTCTCTCCCAGCAGATGGACATATCATTTCCCTAATGCGATGTGTCTCTGGACCACATGGACCTCTCTCAGTTAACACACTCTTCCAATCCAACACTCAAAAGCATTAGCTAAAAGATTATCCATGAGAAATGAAAAAATAAAATAATAAATCAATGGCGCACAAATAGCAAGTAGATGCAATATGTATTTTTGTAACATGGATATGCCATTTAAATGTGCATCAGTGAGGGGAGCAGCAAAAAAATATTTAAAAGTTAAAGAATAAGTTTAAAAATTGTCATTATTTACTGAATTAAAAAAAAAAGTATATATTGTAGAATGACTAAGCTGCTCTTTTCCATACAATGAAAGTGAATTGAGAGTGATTTTCAAAGCAAGATTATTAGTGAATCTCAAGTTTAATTTGTTCTGTTCCTCACACAAAGCTATTGTATATCTTCTGAAGACTTAGAAAATAGTGCATGAGTCAAACTAAATATAGTTAGAAAAATCTTTCTTCACTACATTCACTGTGATGAAAAGAGCAGCTTGAATATTCCGCTGAAATTCTCTTATTCCATGGAAGAAAGTAAGTAAAGAATAGTTACAAAAACTATTCTGTTCTTCTGGTCTGTTCTCTTCACACAAAGTTATTGCAGAGCTTCTGAAGACTCAAAAAATAGTGCACATGTCAAACAAACTACTTTTATAATAATTTAATGGTGGTTTTTGGGGGCTTTCACACCGGACAAACCTTTTCATTGTTCCTAGTACTATTGGCGCAAGTACCCACTTTTTGGTGTATTCGCACAGCAGGAACTAGGAATGGTTTTAGTTCTAGGAACTCCGTTTGGAGGAACTAAATTAGCTCCTACTTCAGAGTAGGGTCTAAAACAGTTCTATAGGAACTACCAGTGACATAAGTGTCTGTTGCTTACATTGGCCAAACGCATACAAAACACCAGCTACCCACTGAACCCATGTCTTGTCTTTATGTGGGGTATCAGAGTTCTAACCTGTAAAAGGCGTTAGATTGTGTTATTGATGTTGGTTTTATTATGGTTATATTTAATGCAGTTCGTTTGTATAATGTTTGTTTCTTTCCAAGGTTACATTATTGTGAATTAGCTTAGTGTAGAAGACAATGTACCTGGTAAAACATACCTGGTGTGCCCAAAAAGGGGGCGTAGACTGGCCTTTATAAGCCTCAGCCAGACTCCAGTTCTTTGCTTGTTCACCAAGTCAAAGCAAGCATGCTACTGTGGTGCCGTGAGCTGAAAAACCTATTTTGTACGGTATGCATACTTTTGTATATATTTGGATACTTATATATCTTTGATTTATTTATTTGGTTGCTTTGGTACTTTGTATTTTTTTGCTTTTTTTTTGTTGGGACTGTTCACTTGTAAATGATTCTTCACGGTTGGACTATTGGACTTTCGGTGCACCTGTAAATAAACATCACCATAATCTAAAGAGTACTTGTGGGTTGAGCCATCCTTTTTTTCCCTTTTGGACATTAACACGCCCGCAGTAGACCCTGCCAAAAGTTAAATTCTTCAAAAGTCTACTGCATCACACCATGTAAAAATATTTACTCCATGAACATGGAAAACAGTGATAACGGCCTGTTGTCTGCAGCGTTGTGTTCTTTTCTCAGCCTCGATGATATATAACAATGCAAGTTGTCATAGCAGATTTAGTCAAATTTTCATACTCTTTCAAATCGCATATACACTGTATTGTGCGTTTATATTCCATCTCCGTTATCACAAAGCCCACAACACACAACAAAAACAGCTCACAGATTCCTCCATTCACAGGTTATTTACGTTTGTAAATGCAGTGAATGAAGATGTTGCTGTCGGCCGCTTCAGAGTACCCGCTGCCGGTGCAAATGCAACCTGGAAAATGGCCCAAGGGGGAAATTGGTTCTCTAGGAACCACCATGCTGGCTATTTCCTAGAACTACGTGGTGTGAAAGCCCCTATTGTTCTGAAAGCTCCTGGTTCCCATTCACTTTCACTGTAAGGAAAAGAGCAGCTTAAACACTCTGCTAAACGTCTTCTTATTATGTTCCATGGAAGAAAAAGTAAAACTGGTTTGCAACAATATGAGAGTAAATAAATGACATGTTCTGTAATCATCTTGTATTTATGAATGTATTTGTTGGAGAAACATCAAAAATGTTTTTATAAGCATAAATACAGTAAGGTTCTGCTGACACAATTGTTTCAATTAGATGAATAAAAACTAATCAGCTACTTTATGCAAATCTGCTCCCTATGCGGAACTCAGCTTTACTGGTATTTCAAGATCACTATGGAAACCTTCCATGCTTAATTTACGCTCACTTTAATTCACATGGTGAATTAAATCCACCAGCTAAACTAATGCAGTACTGCATTCAAACCGTCATACAAAACACCTTTCACTCAAGGACTCCAGAAAGGCCAGCAGGATGTAAAAAACATGGTATACGCACAAATGTGTTGCCATATCAATGCTTTACTCAATCCTCGCATTGATTTATTTTACCCAAGCAAAGGGGCCAGTGTTTCTCACCAATTTATAAATGTACCATGTGGAGCTTCAGATGAAATCGTCACCCTCATAAGTACGACAGACATATAAAGATGGTGTTTTCACTGAGCCGTGGAGTGGGAAGGAGCTCTGTCTTACCTTGGTAATTGCAGATGTCTCCCACGCTGTTCTGACGCGTGATGTGGTGCCAGTAAGCGCTTCGCGGGAGAGATATCGACTTTGTTAATGTGCTCTCGTTTGAAAGAGTCTGTGAAGCAGAGCAGAAAATCATTGGGTTACATTGGTTATATTTCCAGTCAAATCACTCGGAAAGGGCTTACGCTGACAAGATTTCAAAGACCGAGACTCTCCGGTAAACAGCACCCCTCCATTAGGCTGTTTTGATCATTACAGATGACAGGTGGAGTGTGATGTCATTACAGCCTTTTAAAAAGAGCATTTATCACAGCATTTTAAGAGAATTTCGTAAATCCAAACCAATAAAGACTCTTAGCGGGACTCTTGATCAAGATTTCAGAGCGAGCAGCATTTTTGGCAGGGGTCCTGGATGGCGAGATCTGAGCGGAGGGCCATATGGTCAAGTCTCATCAGCCTCCACTGAAGGCCTTAGAGATGACAGCACAGATTCACTGCCAGCAAGGCAGCGGCGCAGTTTAAATAGCACAGGAAAGACCATCCGCATCATGCGACTGAACGATTCATCAGCCTCGCTAGCTTCAGGGGGTTCAGAGAAATAACCAAAATGTGCTTTCAATGACACATTGATAGCCAAAATGGTAGGATAACATTTTAAGGCATTAGTGTTCAGAAGCTTTGAACACTTAAATACTCCTGAGGCTGTTATTTCTGTCGTTATCTTGCAACTAAGATGGGTCTCAAATCCATTTACATTTTATTCAAAGCGACTTCAATTGCATTGAAGGTATGCGTTTTATCAGTATGCACATTCTTGGGATTCAAACTCTTGACCTTGATGTTGCTAACGTCATGCTCTACCAGTTGAGCTATAGGAACACATAAGTGCAACATTTCTGAAGGTACTCGACCAATAGTGCAGTTCAGGATTAGTTGACAGCAGCTGATTTTCAAAGATGTCAGTGTTCTGTGACCTGGATTTATGAAACATCACATACTGTTCACTGTGCAAGCAAGGAAGCGGGAAAACATACTTAGAAAACTGGCAGAATCTTAACAGGGAAGCTGCAGTCCTGATATTTAATTACTGTATATTGTGCGGTGATAAAAGGTTGATTTAGGCTATCTGATCTAAGGTAATAATTAGTGCTGTCAAAATTAGCGCGTTAACGCATGCAATTAATTTTTCCAGTTTAGCGGCATTAAAAATTTAGCAATTTTCTGCTTTGACCTAAATAGAGGGGTCATATGATGCGATTTCAAGTTTTCCTTTCTCTTTGGAGTGTTACAAGCTGTTCGTGAATAGATAAGATCCCTAAAGTCGCAAAGACTAAAGTCTCAAACCCAAAGAGATATTCTTTATAAAAGTTAAGACTAGTCCACACCCTCCTAAATGCCTTGTTTAAACACGCCCCCACATGTCTACGTCACGATGTGGGAAGATTTGCATAATGCCGCCCAAATGTTCACGCAAAGAAAGAAGGCGTAACTTTATTGCTGCTGCCACCGCCACCGCCATGTTGTGAAGACACTGTGTGTTTTGTTGTGAAAGCGAAAATACTTTATTTGGCCTTCCAAAAGAGGACACGACTAGAAATAAACACATTATATTACACCAAATACACAAAATAATGTTCTTTTTAGCAACATCAAATGACCCCCTTTAACGCAGGGGCGGGGCTAGGGTTGGCCACCCTTACTCACAACTGCTGCTTCCGTCTCTTTTTTTTCTTGATAAGAATTGCGTTTATTTAAATGCAGAACATCTTTACGACCACATCAAATGGGAGACTTTTCAGACGTGCACTCCACTTTGCTTCAGTGACAGGTGCTAGTCAAACGAGTGCAGAAACGGTACAGGTGACGAGGCAACTTCAGTGGGACATCAGTGAACTGCGGTCAGATGAGTTGTTCGTAAAAATTGTTTTTACTAACATGTTTCCTGTCCTGTCAGCTGTTATACTGTGCTTGAAGTGCATGCTCTTCAATTGCATGCACAAATGTGGCGGCGCACTGTATATAATTTCATAAAGCGCGAAATAAACTACAAGCATGCAATGTCGTAGTTATGCCGTCAATTAAGTCATGAAGCTACCAAAAAGGCGATTAAAGCTGCCTTACAACTGTGCATATACTGTATGTATATATTTGTTATATATGAGTCACTTTTAAGAATGTGTCAGATCTGCCTCTCGTTTAGCAGCGGCAGCTCTTAAAGTAAAAGCAGCCACATAACCACCCTTACTCACAACTGCTGCTTCCGTCTCTTTTTTTTCTTGATAAGAATTGCGTTTATTTAAATGCAGAACATCTTTACGACCACATCAAATGGGAGACTTTTCAGACGTGCACTCCACTTTGCTTCAGTGACAGGTGCTAGTCAAACGAGTGCAGAAACGGTACAGGTGACGAGGCAACTTCAGTGGGACATCAGTGAACTGCGGTCAGATGAGTTGTTCGTAAAAATTGTTTTTACTAACATGTTTCCTGTCCTGTCAGCTGTTATACTGTGCTTGAAGTGCATGCTCTTCAATTGCATGCACAAATGTGGCGGCGCACTGTATATAATTTCATAAAGCGCGAAATAAACTACAAGCATGCAATGTCGTAGTTATGCCGTCAATTAAGTCATGAAGCTACCAAAAAGGCGATTAAAGCTGCCTTACAACTGTGCATATACTGTATGTATATATTTGTTATATATGAGTCACTTTTAAGAATGTGTCAGATCTGCCTCTCGTTTAGCAGCGGCAGCTCTTAAAGTAATAGCAGCCACATAACCTAATAACCTAGCTGCTGTGATGTCTGTTAATCAAAGAACAAAAGAAAAATGAGGAAATAAATTAACTTTTGTAGCTTTAAGGATTCATCTATATTTAATTCAGAACTTAGTGTTTGATAACTTTATTCAATTTCTGTATATGCTTTTGTAGCTTTAAGGATTCATCTATATTTAATTTAGAACTTAGTGTTTGATAACTTTATTCAATTGCTGTATATTTTCTACTTGCTGAAGGGCACAGGTAGCTAAATATGACATTTATTACATATACAAATGCTGTAAACTCACTGTATTTAGCATATGTCAGTCACTGAAATTATCACATATACAATATCATTCAAAAGTATGGGGTCGGTAAACTTTCAAAGTCTCTTATACTCACCAAGGCTGCATTTATTTGATCAAAAACCGTAATATTGTGAAATATAATTACAATTTAAAACTCTTTTCTATTTGGATCAATTTTAAAATGTAATTTATTCCTGTGATGCAAAGCTGAATTTTCAGCATCATTTCTCCAGTCTCCAGCATCACATGACCCTACAGAAATCATGCTAATATGCTGATTTGGTGCTCAAGAAACATTTCTTATTATTATCAATGTTGAAAACAGTTGTGTTGATTAATATTTTTGGGATAGCCTTAATAAATTAATATAATACTTTTTTTGGATATATAAAAAGTTAAAAAGGACAGCATTTATTTAAAACAGAAATGTAATATAACATTACAAATGACTTTACTGTTATTTTTTGATCAATTCAATGCATCCTTGCTTAATAGTCTTAATTTTTTTTCCAAAACAATAAAATAAATAAAAATCTAACTGATCCCCAAATTTTGCATGGTAGTCTGTTTTGAGACCTAAACCTTGCTTATGATTTTTTGTTTTGTTTAAGGTGATTAAAATCAATAGTTAAATGATAGAAGTGATTATTATTATTATTATTATAGCAATTTAAGTATATTAAAAATCATAAATTAATAAAGATTTGTATCACCTTACAAAACATGTTTAGAATTTTTATGGAAAATCAACTTTGAATCACTAATGAAAACTGAATTGACTAAAAAAGAATGTAATGTCATTCATTCTATAAAATTATATAGATAAATAAAATAACTTAATAAATGGAACCCCTCAAGTTGTCTTTATGGGTGTTCCAGGAAACGCCCTCCATTTTGAACACTTCAATGGAGACTCATTTGTGAAATATGATTGCACTAACACTACGGAATAATACATACAATACCATGTTATAAAATACTAATTTAGAAATGCCTTTCTCTCCGGTGTACCCTGTAGAATTATGGGACGTCTACTTTTACTATACCTGTGAGCTCTTCTCCATCTCCATCATCATGCGTTCATGTTGCTCAGCGATGGACAGTGTGGCAGAGTGAACTCTCTGATAGATCATCTCGCCTTCTCTGGTCTGGAACGTGAACAAACCCTCCCCTGTATCACACATCCTGTAAGAGCACAACACACACACAGACACACACACACATCCGTTAAGCAATTATAGCTTCTATTAGTTTTCAGTACACTCATGTTCTTGTCGTAATAGGCTGAACAGTAAGAGTAGGCTTTAAGGGCAGCCTGCAAGGGAAAGCATATGTTAAATGTTGAGCACAATCATGAATCAGCGAATCAATATCCAGAGCAGCAGAATCAGTACTATTTGATTTATGATGAAAACATCTTGTCAGACAAAAGCACTCCCAACTAGAATCGAATGTCGTTCACACACCTTCCAGACTCAAATGTGAACCAGGTCGAGTCTCTGCCGTATCTCCTCAGGGAGTTGAGCGGCCACATGACCAGCTTGACTCTGGCATTATGGATGTCCCAAAGGTAGATGTTCTCGTGGGTGATCTGCATTGTGCACTCTCCGTAGATGTCCAGATTTGGGGTCGGCATCAAGTAAACATGAAATCTTTCTGGAATAAAAAAATTAATGTACAAGTCATAAGTACTATAGTTAACTAAAACAAAAAATCCTCATTTAAATTACATTTTAAAATTGATCCAAATAGAAAAGAGTTTTAGATTGTAATTATATTTCACAATATTACTGTTTTTGATCAAATAAATGCAGCCTTGGTGACAGTGTTGGGGAAAGTTACTTTTAAAAGTAATGCATTACAATATTGCGCTACTCCCTAAAAAAAACGAATTACGATACTTAGTTACTTTTTATGGAAAGTAATGCGTTACATTACTTTTGCATTACTTTCGCATTACTTTCGCATTACTTTTTAAATATGAGCAAGGCTTGATTGTTTTTAATATAAGAAGGTCTATTTATAGCAAATGTAAAAGCCCTTTCACACCAAAAAGTGTAATGAATAAACCTCAGGCTGAAGGAAAAGTAAATTCACGTCTGTACAGTAGAACGCAGGAGAAGAAACACTCTTCAGCAATTAAAACAAAGAAGCACAATTGTTAGTTTATCTAAAGTCACTTTTGCTTATTAGTATGGTTGAACTGGATCATCAGAGGTCAGCAGCAAAGACATTGGTTAATAAAATGGGATTAGATACATTTGTGTTATTTAACATATTTAATGATTGCAGGTTTGCGTCATATTCTGAGTTTGCATTTCACCGTTTTAATTCATTTTGATGAATACTAAATCTGTTTTTTGTGAGTGGGATGAATTAATGCACATTCACATTTAGTCTAGAACTACAGTAACATCATGTTCTCACAGCGCACACAACGCCTCTGCACTTCTGATTTCTCCCAATATGGGGGGACAGGAGACTTGTCAGTCAATAAATGGGAAAACAAAGTAACTGGCGTCACTTTTTTGAAAAAGTAACTCAGATATTTTCTTGTAAATTAAAAAAGTAATGCGTTACTTTACTAGTTACTTGAAAAAAGTAATCTGATTATGTAACTCGCGTTATTTGTAATGCATTACCCCCAACACTGCTTGGTGAGTATAAGAGACTTTGAAAAAAACTTTACCGACCCCATACTTTTAATTGATATTGTATATGTGATCATTTCAGTGATTGACATATGCTAAATACAGTAAGTTTACAGCATTTTTATATGTAATAAATGTCATATTTAGCTACCTGTGCCCTTCAGCAAGTAGAAAATATACAGAAATTGAATAAAGTTCTCATCATTCCTCATTTTAATTAGTTAAACTAGATGTACTAAAATAACTAAAACTGAACTAAAAGCTAATAAAACTATATAGAAATGTATAAAAAAAGACAAAAACACACAACAAACAGACCAAAACTTTAACATAAAAAAAAAAAAAAAAAAAAATGCATTCAAAATATTAATAAAATTATAATTGTATCTCAATAATGCTAAAGTAAGTATCACAGATTGGGTTAAAATAAAATAAAATAAAATAATAAAATAAAAATACTTGAAACCATTGTATAAATTAAAATTAAAAACTTAATTTGATCTCTTCAGATGCAGAAAGCTTTGAACAAAGAAAAACTCTTGAGAATGTGACTGTATTTGTAATAAAATAAAATGTACAAATATTTCATTTTAGCTATTAATGAAAATAATAATGATATAATATTTAATTAATTAAAAATTTAATGATATAATATTATATTATTTATGATGCATTAAATATTTATTGAAATTGTGTTCACAACACAATTTATTTTACATCTGTACATGTGATATCTTTACAAATATTTAAATGGAGGGGGAAAAAAATTGATCGGTAGTAGATAGTATATAGTAGACAGTAGTTTTTTCCATTGGCAAATTGATTCGATCACTAAAAGTAGCTTTTATATATCAGATTGGAGCCATGAAGCTGAAGGGGTCAGGCTGTAAAAAATGTACAGTATTTTTGCAAAAGTGACTTTTTAAATAATAAAAACTCTAATAATTAATTCTTTTAAGAAAGCAGGATGACAAAACTGAATGGTTACTATTATAGTAACCATTCAGTTTTGCCATCCTGCTTTCTAAATGAAGTAAATAACTCAAAAAGGTTCAGCAACAATAGCAGCTTACACTGACAGAAATTACCAATGTTTTATGTTAAAGAAAATTCATAACAGGGTAAATAGTTTCTTTAACAGATATGAAAATGTTGCAGACTGTTGTTTGATCGACATTTCTTTTAATAATAATTAAATTTGCTTAAAAAAAGGGCAACCACCGTGGCGGTATAGTCCATTTAGCTGTCATATTTACAGACATCTCAAACAGCTTTTATTTGAGCAGCTGAAAGATTCTGCTCTGCCTAAAGATGACAGAGAATTAAAGGGTACGGCTGGGAATCTCGAGCACATCTCAACAGTGCCATCTAACATGATTATAATTTTTCCAACTGACTATTTTCTCTTCTTGCAGATGCGGCTCTTGCAGTGCACAAAGGTCAACAGATTGTTGCCATAGAGCCGCAGTTGAGCCAACCACGACTGGAGTAACCACACCATCACAATTAGCTCCAAAAAGACAAGGGTGCACTTCATAATCCAAATTAATAGTGCCTAATTATACCTAATGCTTCAAAATAAGCTATGTGTCTCTCCGGAGGAAGAGGCAATGTAATGTGGGGGCTATTTTAGGGATTGTGAAAATTAACTCTGATTTAATTATCGCAGCCCGCCGTTAAGAGGGGTCTAATTGAAGCGCAAATGGCAAACTCTCTGCTCGTTATTCCTCAGCTGTCGAACAGTGGAGAAACGATCATTTTGCTGACCTCCAGCTGATATAATCATATACACATTGCGCTCTCATTATGAAAACAAATCAATATTTGCCTGTCATTTGAGTGAAAAAAATTTGATGATCACTCTATACGGTGTCTGCCGCAGCTTAATGCTTGAATGCTTCGGCAGCACTTGGAGATGAACTGGTATTGATTTTTCTGAATTATGTTTAAAAAAACACTCACATAAACACAGACACAACTCAGGCCATCTCAGACTGAAACAGTCTGATCTGGGAGGAGATGCAGATGCCTTAAAGCAATGGTTCTCAACGTGTGGGGACTGTTTTTATAGTCACAGAAAACATTATATTCAATATAAAATCTCTCTGGAATAAAAAGTCATAAGCACTGCAGACTAGGGTTGTGACGGTGAGGAAATTTTCCCACCGGTTAATCGATATGTGACAACACTGGTAATACCGGTATCACCGTGGGGGCGGGGCGTTCCCTCTTTTCCTCGCTTTCCTTCTCTTTTAAATAGCTTAAAAGCGTCGTGCGCCTTTTACTTTCACTTTCGAATTAGCAGCAATTCGGCTTGAATTGCTTGAATGCAACAACAAAACACAACGTCAAACTCACTTTAGCCTATATATAAAACATAGAACTTTTATTAACAAAACAAATAAAAATACACCATGCTATAGGGCAGGCTATGCCTAATATAAAATAACAAATAACTTACATAAAGTTTAAATAGGTATACAAAACTGGAAATAGGCTAAGTAAACATGTATAATATATAACCAAATAAATAAGAAACGTTTGACGTTTATTAGCAAAAC